GAACACGAGGGCCAACCGGCTGCTACAGGATCTAGCTTTTGAACAGATGCGCTACCGGTCTCTTCCAGGGCCTTAATTTCTGGGTTAAGACTCCTTTTGCAATTCCTTGCCTCTCATCTAAGAAAGAGGGTGAAAGGTTTTGAGGTATCTGGTAACCCAAGAGGCTGGGAGCAGAAGGAGTTCTTTCTTTAGAGTCTCAAAAGCCAATTGATGTTCCTCCTGCCAGGTAAAAGGGGTACTTTCCTTGGTGAGGGTATAAAGGGGGGCGGCCAGTTCAGCGAGCCGGGTATCCTGGCGACAGAACCCAGCAGTTCCCAGGAATTCACGCACCTCTCTGGGTTCGGGCGGTGGAATCGAGCTACAGTCTCCTATGCGCCTAGGGGTAGGCCACCTTTTCCCCTCACTCAGTATGCTTACCCCAGGTAAAGTTACCTTGGTCTGACAAATTTGTGCCTTCTTGGCGGATGCCCGGTATTTTCCTCACCCAGTTCCTGGAGTAGATGCCTGATACCTTGCATGCAGGCTTCCTTTGTGGGGGCCGCCAGGAGAGGTCATTTACAGCATACTGGAGCAAGGTCACTTCTGGATGCTGGAGGTCCGGAGAGTGTGGTGGAGTCCCGGTGGAGGCCTCATCCAAAAGAGAGTGGGAGAGTTCTTGAACCCTTGGGGAAGTAGGGTCAGGTCAGTGGCCTGAGATTCCTTTCTCAGGGTCTTTCTACTCAAGAGCAAAGAGTTCCTGGCCCCAGGGGCCAGGGGTAAACAAAAGAATGCATCTTTTAATTAAGGGGCTGAGCAAGTTGTAAGGCACTTAGCTCCTGAAGTAGATGCCTGGTAGGCCTGGTCTTTTTTTGCAACCAGAGCGCCTCCGTTTTTCCCTTTCTTCCTGGCCTTTCTCCGTTACTACTGCTGCCAGGATTTTTTGTTAAATACTTATCTCTCTTTTATTTTTCCATTCTCTCGTTTCTCCTGTTCTTTGCTAGTCTGGCTTTCCTTTCCTCGGGAGTTTCTGCTTTATTATATACTTTTCTGCCTCTCTGACTAATTTCTGTAATCCATGAGTCTGGATCCTATTTAATCTTTGGAGTTTTCTTTTAATATCTGGTGCTGCTTTGTCTATGAACGACATGGCCACGGTAGCCTTATGTTCTAGAGCCTCTGGATCAAATGGGGTATACAGTCGGAACCTTTCAGAAGTCTTTCCATAAAGGCTGCCGGGTTTTCGTCCTTTCCTTGAATTATGGTCCTTACCTTGGCCAAATTGGTGGGCGTTCCTTGCCCCCTTGTGAGACCCGCCAACAGAGCCCCTGCGCGATAGATTCAGACTCTCCTACCTGGTGCTGTCTCATAATCCTAGTCCGGGCGGGTGAGGGAAATCCCTCGTCTATTTCGTTTGGGTTGGAAGGCCTCTTGGCCCCGGCACATTTTCCCGGGCCTCCAGGGAGGACTTGTTGCCTTTCTTCGGTGGTCAGAAGGACCTGCAAAAGCTGTTGACAATTATCCCAGGTAGGCTGGTGGGTAGAATGGATTCTATCAATGAGTTGAGCCTGGGGGGTCTTGGGAAAAGGGGGTTGTGAGTTTTTCCAATTGTAAATTCGGAGGCAGAAAAGGGCCAGTACTGGATTGCGCGGTTGACCGTGCGAAGGAAAAGGAAGACTGCCAGGTGGGAGTGCCATCTGGGTCTTCAGTCGCATAGCAAGCGGAGAGGAGGTGTTGGTGGCGCGCGGAACCGCGGCGGGGAGGAGAGGCGCGCGACCTCTCTTCCCCCGCCACCCGCGCCCAACCTTTGACCTCGCCTTTCCGCGCGACAGCGACGCCGCCACGGCGTCCCGCGAGGATTACCGCGGGCTCACGCAAACCCTGGGAGACGCGGCTCCGGCTGCTTGGGCTGGCTGCGGGCGAGGCTTCCGGCCCCCTGATGCGCGGGAGGCCCAGCGGGGGAGGATGGGACGGTGGCGGCATTCTAGGGGTTAATTTGGGCGGCGTTGGAGAGGGAGGCGAGGTGGGGAAGGGACCGATGAAGGGGCTGGAGGAGAAGAGTAGGGGCAGGGGGTAGTGGGAGGGATTGGGGATAGGGTAAGGGACGAGGGTGAAGCGTAAGGTGGAGGCCTCAGGAGGGGGTCGTGAGGAGGAGGAGGAGGCGGAGGGTCGAACAGGAGGAGGTCTTGCTGAGTTCCATCAGGAGGACTGGCTTAGGGGATCGAAGTCTGATTCTTTGGGGCTTCACGGCAGGAGGGTAGATTGGAATAGGGAGGGGGAATGAAAGAAGGGTTTCACCCAGGAAGGGAGGTTTCGGACCAAATCTTCCCGGAGTGATTATGTGAAGCCACTTGGTCCTGGTGTCCTTGTGGCCTGATTACATCACTTTTGCTTTAACCTGTAAGATAACGGAGAGGAGTCAAGTAATGTTCCGTCCTGGGAATGCCCAACCTGGAGGGTTGGCCATTCGAACAAACAGAAAGTTTTCCATCGTCACTACGGACTTCCGCAGCGGAGAGATAGGAGCTTTGCGCCGGACGTCAGGGAAGTGGGTCAAAGTCAGGCTAAAGGAGTTGTTAGTGTCTGTCCATAGTTTTAGTCAGAAAGTCATGCACACACAAGGACAAAATGACAACAGTAAACACAGTGACCAAACAAACACAGAGGAGCCGCGGCCGAGTGGCGCCACAAGTTTACAAGATTCAGGCGGCGAGGCGTAACCTGCCTACACCCGATTTGAGGAGGCCAACAGAGTGCGTCAGCTTTCCTCCCGACAACCACCAGGGGCGTCCCGGGGCGCAAGGCGGGGTGCCGGTTTCACGTCTGCCCCCTTCCCCCTTGATTATTCAGACGGAGTGCCTCCTCAGAGCTAGCCCCGTAGGAACAAACAGAGCACAGAAGCGAAAGCGAAAGTACCTGTGAAGTCCGTTCGTCCGGTCAGCGATCATTGGCAGACTTTGGTGTCTCCACTGGAGGGTGAGGGTCTCGGGCGACCCCCATTCGACAACGCATAAATGTAGGAACCTAGTTTTAGATTCCTTCCTGGGCAGGGGTCGTCGCGAGAGACCACTCGACCCGGAAGTCACAGCGGAGAGATTTATTGCTAGCGCGCTAGGGTCCTGTGTCCGAAGTTGGCCACAGGACCCAGATATATTACAGACAGTTTATAAGGCAAAAAACCACAAAATTTTACAAAGCTTGAAGCAAGATGATTGGAGCAGGTTATGGCCTGAGCGAGATGTCTTACTTTAATTGGTTGGTTTGAACCTGGTTTGAACCGTGCGAATTATTTCCGGACTTGTTCTTCTGTTTGAGTTCCAGGAATATGGGTGGAGTGTTTTAGATAGCCACACGGACATCAGTAGTGCTAGATGGCCACCTGGTCGTTGGGTGGGTGCTTTTAGATAGCCACCTGGTGTGGCTTTCTAAACTTCTAAGTTTCTAAATCTCTAAGTCTCTGAGCTTCTAGATCTATAAATTTCTAAGTCTCTAAGTTTTAAACTATAAGTTTCTAAGTCTATAGGTCTAAGTCTATAGGTTTAAAGGTTTCTAAGTTTCTAAACCTATTTTCAAGCTAAGCTATCTTAATTTATTTTCCTAAGATTGTTTTGAAAATATAAATCATTCCTATAAATATAAAGTGTCCAATAAGTATATTCCTAGTAGGTAGTCAACAGAAATTACTTTTTTAAGGGAATAAAAAGATATATATTTATTGTAAAAAGTGAAATTGTTATGAAATTGCTTCTATAGAACTAATTGATTACTATTTCTGCCAGTCCTATTTTATTTTACAGCAAATTTTATATCAGTAAAAGCCATAACTAGATACGTAAAGGTAGCTTTATGTGAGCAGGCTTCCAGCATTCCAAAGTGAGATAGTTTAGGCAGTTACATTGTTATCAACAGCCGTAAGCTTAATTTACAGATTGTTTGTCACATATATGCTATTAATTTTATATATTTATATGAAATGTAATTTATATACAAATAAAACCCTGTTTAAGCAAAAAAGTATATATGTCCTGATAATTATGATCACTGCATATATAATGTACGTAACAATATAACAAGCTGATATGGATTTTTATGTGTATGTGCATGCACTTACACTGTGCACAAGGTTACAGTTAGCAGAGTGTCTTTGCCCTGCTCTTTCATCACTTTAATCACTAGAACAAATACAAAAGTACATCTTTTGTATTTATATTTTGTGTTTGTATTTTGTATTTGTATTTTTATTTGCATTTGTATTGTATTTGTACTTTGTTAGTACTGTATTGTATTTGTATTTTGTATTTGTATTGTATTGTATTTGTATTTTGTATTTGCATTTGTGTTTGTATTGTATTTGTGTTGTATTGTATCGTATAGTATCGTATTTATATTTTGTATTGGTATTGTTACCTGTGTGCTGTGTGACTTTGCCACCACTCAGGGCACCTGGAGCAGGGACCCTGTCAGGCATTTTGTGGTCCCCAGCCCAGTGCTGCTCAATGCTTGCGGAGTCGTCTTAAGAAGGCGCTGGTAATCTCCAAAAGGTGTTGGAGATTCTCTCCATAAAATTAACAAGAATTCCTTGGCATTTTTCACAATAAACAAATTTTATATGGTACTTTTTAAATAGTTGTGAAACTTAACCACCCTTCATAGAATGTTTTGCCTCCAAAACGTCTCTGAATAATTTAACTAAATAATTTATTATTTTAGAATATTTGTTAGGTTTGTTTTGATATTTTAAAAATTTCAAGAATATGTTTACATTTAATATTTATTATATATAAAAGCTTATTTACTATTAGTTTTGTCATCTTTGAGAATTTAAGATTTTGAATAGTGTTTGAATTATTTTTAAATATCTCGAGAGAGACCCATTAACCATTTAATAATTCTTACATATAAAATATTCTTCCATTATTCATTTGTTCTTTTTGTGAAGAAAAGCAACAAGTTGTTTTCTTTCCTCTAATTTGCATTCAAATTTAAAAATGATTTTTCTCCTGGTGTTTCTTTCCTCCCCGTAGGTGTGAGCGCCACTTTGAAGGGCATCCATCCCGCGGCTATCCATGTGGAATTGCTTTCAGTCCTTGTGGGCGATTCGCGGCTTGTGGGGCCGAGGACAGACACGTATGTATTTGTATTTTGACAGTCTATAAATGTTTGATAGTCTATAAATGTAGAGATTCTAGACTTTGGTAATGTGTAGACTGTTTAATATTGTTGCATATTAGAATAGAAACCTACTTGCAGCTTGACTGTTGGTCAATATTTCAAGACTCTTACACAGTAATAGCATTTTAATAATGTATGAGGTATGAAAGATGTTTTTACTGAAGCATGATAAACAGTAATCACTCATGAATTATTAATCATTTCACAGATACTTGTCGAGTGCCTACTATTTGAAAGACACTGTGCTACACGTTGTATTTTCTTTTTTATTACAAGATTATAATATTAATTAGTGAAACACCAGATCCTGTGTATTTAATGGTGTGATCCTTTCCTAAGTTAGATCCTTAGGAAACAATGTGCTTATATTAATGGAATTGCCCTCCCCCCCATTACACATTATGTGAACGTGCCGCATGGTGGATTTGGGCAGGTACTAATACACATCCATTTGTCCATAATATATTTTAAAAGGCCTGTATTAATTTCCTAGGGATGCCACAAACTACCACAAGCTTGGAGGCTTAACCCTTTTCCTGTTTGCCCCAAGAATCCTCACAGGCGGCCTTGCAGCTACAACATTCACCTCACGATCATGTTGCCTCAAAATACCCTGCTTTTCTTACTATTTTCTCATTGCTCTAGTATCTTGACTTTGGAAACAAAAGACATCATTCTATCTATAGCATTCTGGTTTTAGCAGTGGTATTTTCATTTACGAAATATAGTAATTCTTGATTGCTGAAAATGCCAAATTCTAGAAAATGTCTCATTTCTAGGCATGATGATAATGTCGTTCCTGAACAGTTATTGGCTGAAGATTCATTTGATGAATCCGATTTTTCTGAAGTAGATGATTCTGATGATTCAGATGATTCTGATGTTAGTTCTGTTTAGAAATAACTTCAAGAACAGTTTTTATATTTTATTTTCACATTGAAAATCAGTCACATTTGCTTCAGCCTCAAATAGCATGTTTATGTAAAGTTAAATGAGCGCTGACGGTAACCTACCTTTTTAAATTCTAAACAGGAAAAGAGTTTAAAAAAAGTCGACATTTATTTTCTGCCGGCTGTGGAGGCCAGAAGTGTGAGAAAGCATCAGCAGGGCGGGCCCCTTCCACAGGGTCTGAGGGAGGAAACTTCCACGCTTCTCTGGCCTCTGTGGCGGCTACAGTCCCTGGGGTTCCCTGGCGTGCGGCTGCCTCATGCCAGCCTCTGCCTCCATTTCCAAGTGGCCTTTCCTCCTCTGCACATCTCTCGCTCCCTGTTCTTTCTCTTGGGGACACTAGCTAGGCTTGAATGTCTCCTCCAGAACTTATGTTGAAATTTGCTTGCCATTGTAGCAGTATTCAGAGGTGGGAACTTTAAGAGGTGATTAGGCCATGAGGGCTGGCCCTCCTGTAAGGATTAATACCATTACCATGAGGATGGGGTCCTTACACAGGGTGAGTTTGTCCCTCTCTCGCCTCGAGGCCCTTTCACCTTCTGCTGTGTGATTATGCAGAAGGGAGGCCTTGCCAGATTCTGGCTCTTTGACCTTGGGCTTTCCAGCCTCCAGGACTGTAAGAACATACATTTCCATTCCTTGCATATTACCCAGTTTCAGGTATTGTGTTACAGCATCACAAAACAGACTAAGAAGACACTGATACTGGGTTTACAGCCCACCCGAAGTCCAAGCTGATCTCAATACCCTTCAGTTAATTACATCTGCAAAAAATCCTATTTCCAAATAAGATCACATTCACAGTTCTTTTCATCACTGTTCGATAAGGCTTATCTAAAAACATAGAATATGGGTGTATGTGTTCCCTCTAAATTCCCACGTGGAAACCCGCACCCCAGGATGATGGTGTTAGAGGAGATGAGATCTTCGGGAGGTGATTAGATCTTGAGAGTGGACCCCACATGAATGGAATTAGTCCCTTATAAAAGAGCCTCCAGAGAGCTCCCTCGCTTCTTCTACCATGTGAAGACAAAGGGAGAAGGCGCCGTCTGTGAACCAGAGATTCCATCCTCACCAAACACCAAATTGACCGGCCTCTTGACCTTGAACTTCCCAGCTTCCAGACATGAATGTGTGTTGTTTATAAGCTACTGAGTTTATGGGATTTTCTTATAGCAGCATGAATGGATAAAAACAACGTATAAGGACATTCCAAAAATTAAAGGGAATCATAAAGTTTATTTGGAAAAAATTAACTTACAATTGATCTGAGAGACAGTTGTATTTTCCTAACATTTTTTCTTATTCAGTTTAACTGGTAAGAATGAAATAACAGTGAAACTTTTTTTTATGGAAAATAGGCAAAGTTATTCTAAAATTTTGCTTGTTCGTTACTAAGTAAACTCTGACACCTTGGGCATCTGCTGTGATTGATACTGAAGCTCCTCTCTGAACATAGTGGTGTTACCATGTGAAAAATGTGTAGAAACGGACACCTGTGTTTTTTTCCAAAGGAAACAATGTGTTATAAAACGTAACTACCAGGCAGCCAATAAGCAATTAAAAAATTTATTAAAGCAACTCAAAAGATTAAAATAAGCAACTTTTATTTAACAGTATAGCCTGTTTGCCACCATTTGGATACCACTGACAATAAGTGACTTTTTTGCAATTTTGAACATCCCTCCCACCAGCTCCACAACCACCAACAGAATAATGGATTTTTTTTTTCTCTAATTTGTTTCTCTGTATCCAGTCATGTACCCAAGATCTCTACCAATTCAAATCTACTCATCAAATCCACTTCTCTTTCAGAAGCTACTATTGCCTAAGACAGCTTCCTGGCTTTCATTTGTTTCAAATACTTGAGCACTCCCTGTATGTTGCCCAGGAAATTAATGAGATTTCTTAAGTATACACCATTCGTTTAAGAGCCAAATGTAAGTGAACTGCGTATATTGAATTTTCTTGAAATTTTTTGGTCTCCATTTTCTTACATTCAACATCTATGTGAGTGCAGTTCTCAATGTAGGCAGGTCACTGGAATAGGTAGCACACTAGGGGCATATTCCTTCATTTGGTGTGAATTCTGGTTTCTCATTAGAAACAAATGCAGCCAGAAAATGGTGAAACAGCATTTTCAAAGTGCTATAAGAACTGTCAAGTCAGAATTCCGTACCCATAAAATATGCTTTAGGAATGAAGGCAAAATAAAGATAATCTATGATGAAAGAAAACTAAGAGAATTTATAGCTGGCGCAGCTCACTCATTCAGCTCAGGCTGCCATAACAAAATTCCAAAGACTGGGTGGCCTAAACAACAGGAATTATTCCTTATGGCTCTGGAGGCTGCAAGTCCGAGATCAGGGTGCCTGTCTGTTCATTTCCTGGTGTGGGCTCTCCTCCTGGCTTGCAGATGGCCGTCTTCTCCTGTGTCCTCACATGTCCTCTTCTTAGAGGGGCCCTAATCCCATCCTGGGGGCCCTTCTCATGTCCTCATCTGAAGCTAATCGCCTTTCAAAGGCCCCACCTCCAAATGTGATCACACTGGGGTTTTGGGTCTGAACCAGTGCATTTGGGGGTACCTTCAGTCCATGGTCTGGACCTTCAGTCCATGCAGTACAGTTGTCTGATACTTTAAAAAGTTACATGAACTAAAATATGTGTATTTCAATGGATTTTATCTGTTCTGAAGTATGATTTGATATTAATACAGTCACTCTAGCTTTTGTTTGATTAGTATTTATGTGTTGTATCTTACTCTAAACTTTGATTTATCCATGTGATGACACTTAATTTTGTTTTTTTAATAGAAAGCCTAAATTGAGTCTTATTTTTTAATTAATATGACAGTCTCTCTTTAACTGATGTGTTTAGACCTTTTACATTTAATGTAATTATTGGCACATTTGAATATAGCCTACCATTTTCTTGTTTGCTTCCTCTTTCACTTTTCCTTTCCCCTTTTAGATTATTTTAATGCTTTTTGAATTCTCTTTTATGTATTTTTTTTTTTTTTTTTTGAGATGGGGTCTCTGTCACCAAGACTTGAGTGCAGTGGTGCAATCTTGGCTCATTGCAACCTGCTCCTCCCAGGCCGAAGCAATTCTCCTGCCTCAGCCTCCCAAGTAGCTGGGTCTATAGGCATGAACCACCATGCCTGGCTAATTTTTCTATTTTTAGTAGAGACAGGGTTTCACCATGTTGGACAGATTGGTCTCGAACTCCACACCTCAAGCCGTCCGCCTGCCTGGGCCTCCCAAGGTGCTGGGATTATAGGCGTGAGCTACCACACCTGGCCTAATTTATCTATTTGTGAACCGAATATCTTTGTACAGTGGTGTGTACATGTATGTGTGGTGGTTCTGGAGATTACAGCATATATGCCTATTATCTTGTTAGTCTTCTTAAAGATGGTTCTTCATTTCCAGTAAAATGTGAAGACTTTATGACCAAATTGATCGCCGTATCCTTCCCATTCCATATTGTAGCTGTCTTAGGTATCACATCTTCATGTGTTCAGAACTCCATCACAAAATGTTATACTTTTTTATTTCAATAATTATACATAATGGTGTAATATATTTATCTAGACACTTAGCAATTTCTGCTTTCTTCTTCATTCCTTAAGTTTCAAGTTTACATTTAGTATTTAGAGTAGTTTTTTTTTTTTTTTTTTTTTGACCTGGAGAATTTTTTTAGCATTTTTTTAGTGTAGTTCTACTGGCTATGAATTCCCTTACTTTTCTTTCATCATAGATTATCTTTATTTTGCTTTCTTTCCTAAAGCATATTTTCACTATATCTGGAATTCTGACTTGACAGTTCTTTTCTTATAGCACTTTAAACATGTTGTTTCACTGTTTTTTCGCTGTATTTGTTTTTAATGAGATATCTGAAGTCTTTCCAATCACTGTTGAAATAGGCAGGTGTAAAGTTGGGAATATAAATCAAAACTCTGGAGATAAAGACTAATAATCAGGGTAGGGATGATAACTGAAGTGTCA